GGCAGGGGGGTTGGAACTAGATGGTCTTTAAGGTCCCTTCCAACCCAAACCAGTCTGTGATTCGAGTGTGGTTACCATCAGTTACTTAAGTGCATCCACTAACACAGGGTGCCAGTACCTCTTTGTCTTCAAGCCTTACAGCACGAGGGGTGTTCAGTCTAATATTTCCTCTTCCCTTTTTCTCTTCCCTTCACAGGTTCCACCATCTACTGTGGACTACCTGAAGAAAAAAGGGATTGACGTGTTGGTGCTGCAGACAGAGAAGGCTGTGGAGGAGTACAATGCCCTGGCTGCCCAGGGCGTCCAAGTGGGGGGAGTTTTCCATTCAACCTGCTGAAGCCCTACAGCTCCTTCCGCCTTCCTTGCCCGCAGCTCATCGCAGATGCCCCTCTTCGCTGAGTCAAATTACAGGCAATGGGGCTCGGACTTGCGTGCCAAAGCATTTGTGCGCTAACAGTCTACAACACACGGACAGTTTATGAGTTCAGGATTTAAACAAAGTGCTGAAACAGGGGCTGTTAACAACATCGTTTAATTACAGAACCGTTTCCATGTGTTTGTGAGATGATGTTTCTCTGACAACTGTCCGTATTCTGGTTACTTGTCACCTCTTGGCTAAGCTACTTGGATTTGAATACTGTTACTAGGAAATGGCTTGAAATTACATTATTGGCTACTGGAATGCGGCTGTAAGGTGACTGATGCGTCCCATCAAGATGGAGAGATGAAACGGTGGTAAAGAGGCTTTTCCACCACTGCACAGATAGGTTAAAAATCACAGAATCATAGAATGGTTTGGTTGGGAAGGGCCCTTACAGACCATCTGGTTCCGGGGACACCTTCCACTAGACCAGGTTGCTCCAAGCCTCACCCAGCCTGGCCTTGGACACTTCCAGGGATGGGGCATCCACAGCTTCTCTGGGCAACCTGTCCCAGTGCCTCCCCACCCTCTCCGGGAAGAATTTCTTCCTGATATCTAATCTAAACATCCCCTTTTTCAGTTTCAACTTAAATGATTTCCTGGCAGACAGTGATCCCCCCCCAAAACAGAGCTGTGGCTGGCTAGGAGCCAGGCCATTCTGCCCCACAGCCCTTATCTTTGTGAAGCAGCACATGCCGGCCGGGGACGGAATGAGGCTCACGGACACACGGAACACAACCTAAGCAGTGTTTTCAAGGGACATCAGGCAGCGTTTGGGCCTACAAGGAAGCTGGGGGGGACTTTTTACAAGGGCAGGGTGTGACAGGACAAGGGGTAACGGGTTTAAATTGAAAACGAGATTTAGACTGGATGTAAGGAAGAAATTCTTCCCGCAGAGGGTGGGGAGGCACTGGGCCAGGTTGCCCAGAGAAGCTGTGGATGCCCCATCCCTGGAAGTGTCCAAGGCCAGGCTGGATGAGGCTTGGAGCAACCTGGTCTAGTGGAAGGTGTCCCTGCCCATGGCAGGGGGTTGGGACTGGATGAGCTTTAAGGTCCCTTCCAACCCAAACCATTCTATGGTTCTATGAAAGCTTCACCTCCGGGAGCCTTCAAACCTTACTCTGCAGTCTGGGTACCGTTGCATTAGCAAATGAGAAGTAACAAACTTTTTCCCTCACTCCCTGTACCCGCTGCAAAGAGCAACCCAGAAGATGCGAGTGAAACCAGCTGAAAATAGGGATTGCATCTCTGACTTGGTCAAGCAATTTGGGAACTCAGACAAGGAAGACAGGAATCTAGAGGAAAGCACCCAAGAGACGTCATACAGCCCCGATTTAAATGCGCGACCTGCTCTTTAAGCCTTCCCAAGAGCTTGCGTTGTGCTTCCTGCAGTGACTGTGCTCACCCACTTACTCTGTACGTTTAAAAGTAAGACGCATGGAAGGCTGGAGTTGGAGCTTATCAGACATTAACCTTGTTGCTATTAAATTTATGCAGAAATTAAAAATTCCTGACTCTAACATTGCATTATTTACTTGCAGAGTTCCAAGAACTGCCCTAATGAATTTCAGTGGACTTCAGCAATCCCACTAATAGGGAGATTGGACATCAGGAAGAAATTCCTCCCGCAGAGGGTGGGGAGGCGCTGGAACAGGTTGCCCAGAGAAGCTGTGGATGCCCCATCCCTGGAAGTGTCCAAGGCCAGGCTGGATGAGGCTTGGAGCAACCTATTTACTTGCAGAGTTCCAAGAACTGCCCTAATGAATTTCAGTGGACTTCAGCAATCCCACTAATAGGGAGATTGGACATCAGGAAGAAATTCCTCCCGCAGAGGGTGGGGAGGCGCTGGAACAGGTTGCCCAGAGAAGCTGTGGATGCCCCATCCCTGGAAGTGTCCAAGGCCAGGCTGGATGAGGCTTGGAGCAACCTGGTCTAGTGGAAGGTGTCCCTTCCACTGTCCCCTGGAAGCTGTCCCCTGCCCATGGCAGGGGGTTGGGACTGGATGGTTTTTAAGGTCCCTTCCAACCCAAACCAGTCTGTGATTCTGTGATCTTGGGAGAGTACACTACTAAAGTAACAGCATTTGACAGTGAATTTTAAGATCAGTGTTAACACTTGGGTTTTTTTTCAGTTCAGCTAAAATGATGATGATGAATCATCTGCTTGAATAGATAACACTGAAGAAGGAGAACCTACGATTCCTGCCATCATTCAAACTGGGAATCAGAGGGAAAAATCCTACAGGACACCAGCAAGAAGAGAAGCCAACTATGGAATTCTCTCATTAGGAGGTTGAAAACGGTCATAGCAGTCCTAAATTTTCAAGTGCTTTTAGGCATCTTGAAATTACAGGTGCAGAGCTTTTCTATAGCCCTTCAGTGTGTGATTCTCAGTGCTAATACTGGGCAGAGATCACTCACCTTCTGTAGGATATATGAAAGGGGCTCAAGCATAGAACGAGGGGAACAAAACAGTAGAAATCTGCTCCGAAAAAAAGATGCCAAGGTTTTGATACTGAGAAATAAAGTAACCAAAAAGGAGTAGCTGTTTGGTCGTGTGCGGCCTGGGAAGAAATGAGGACTCGTAACTCAAGCCACAGAGCGACCCAGCTGCCTCGTGGAAAGGCGGACTTGGTGCCAGACAGCTGGTTAACCCGGAGGGTTTGTCTGCTGGGAGCAGAGGAGCCCGACGCGCTGTGCCACCATCGGTGTTGCTCTGCGATGACACAAGGGCACTCAGGACCATGCAGCCGAGCCCTCGGCCCCTGCTCTCTGCCCACCTGCCGTCCTGGCCTGGAGCACACGGACACCGTTATACTGGATCGGGGCAAGCAACTAGAGAAATACTGGTGAAGTGTAAAACTGAGGGAAAAGAAGAAAATAAAGGCTGTAATGAGCTCACTCAAGTACCTGCCTGGACGCAGCTTCGTAATAAGGTGTATGTAACCCCTGGCTGCCGGGAACCGTGAGGACACCAAAGAGAAGTCAGATGGCAACAACTTGGCTGTTTCACATGCAGGAGGTTTTCAAAGCAGCGCCCTAAAGGTGAAATACCAAAAGAACCCACCCAGTTTTAAGAGAGCGATAGCACTAAGAAAGGATATTTAATTCAAGAATATCTAAAGCAGCTGAATAGTTTTATGGTTATAGAATCCCAGAATGGTTTGGGTTGGAAGGGACCTTAAAGCCCACCCAGTCCCACCTGCCCGTGCCATGGGCAGGGACACCTTCCACGTGACCAGGTTGCTCCAAGCCTCATCCAGCCTGGCCTTGGACACTTCCAGGGATGAGGCATCCACAG